AAAAAAAAAAAAACCAAACCCAGTCTAGACATGCCTGCCAGCACAAATTCTAAATATGTTTCTGTCCGCCTCACAAGTTCCCACACATTCCATTTCAGGTGAGATACAGAAATGAGAGCTAAAGGGTAACCTATTGTGCCATTAGGACCAACATTGGGTGCACAGCTCCTACCATCCAGGAAGTGGCATGAGAAGGGCGCAGACTCCACCCATGAGCAGGATACCTCAGTGCGCTACGACGCACATTAGAGACGGATTTGTGCCATCCAGTCCCATGTATGCCTCCTTTGCCTCCTGGAATCCAACAAACCGATTCCAGCACAGAAATGATCACTACAATATTATTTCTGAACCAAAAATCGCAAACCATCTAAACATACAACAGGAAAATAGCTAGATAAATCAGGTAGATAGTAAATGTTTTCAAAGAATGATACAATATGGAAAATGCTCATGATTTGTTAGGTAAAAAAGCAAGATACAAAATTCTACATGAGATCAAATTCATTTAAAAATTATAACATAAATGTCCAAGTTATGTATTTATAGACCAACAGCTGAGGTGCCTCTGTAAGACTCTGGGAGCATTTTTAATCAGCCTACGATCGATTTCTAAAAGTCAGAGGCTTTTTGACAGCCGCACTGGAACATGAGAAGCCCAGACTGTGCCATTAGGAAGTCCCCAGGAACCCTGGATCCACTAAGGGGGTGATCCTCCAGGATGGGGGAGCCTTTGACAGGGAGACAAATACTAGAAAGCACACATTGAGTTAGCTACTTTGCTTTTCTTTGCAATCCTACTTTGCTACTTTTCAACTTCAGTACTTAGCAGTACATGGGACCAAAAGTAGGATTTAGAACTGAAGCGGAATTCAGAGGCAGAGCTCTACCACTAAGAGGAACAAACGCAAGCTGGTCAGTTTAGCTTCCTCCAGACGTGGCACGCACGCACTGTCACCACCCAAATAAAGGACCCCTGCCATCAATAAAATGAAAACACACTTATAAAATCATGGATTGATACCTTTGCCATTTATTTTTTAAAATCTTATTCAAAATATTAAATAATACAATTTCAGATATGAAAAAAATTACTGCAATAGAACAGCCAGGTGTATTGCCATTGTGCTGCCCTTCCATATTAGGACACTAAACTGTCCACCCGAGAGAAACGACGGACTGCCCTGCTCCTTCCCTCTCTACACAAAGCACATGCCCACTCGCGCACCTGGGCTTTGTTTAACATATATTAGGGGTTATGTTTTTCAAAAACTTGAAGTGACGCTTATAAGTCAACCATGGTTCAAATCACATATTTACACATTGATTGATTCTTTATGCTAGGCTAAAATGAAATACAGCAAATAATTTCCAGTTGCTGTTAAAAAAAAAAGGAAGAAAACAAGTAAAGGGGGAGAAAAAGTCGGTGTATACATATATTCTTTATGTATACAACTTCATTCAGATATAATTTTAATTTGAAAGACCTGGATATAATATTACTTAAGTGATAACAGTCCCTAAAATTTATTCAAACGTACTATAAAATAATTAACAAAGTGAAAAAATCGGATAGAATTTTAAACTCCGCCCCTTGCTTGAAAGCTTGGAGGAACCCGTGCTATAATCAATTGCTAATGAAAAGCAATTGTACATTTCTACCTCTAAATTTAATTCAGTAATTCAAACCAAAAAGTGATGCCGCTCTAAAATTTTATCTATGTCCACTGCAAACTGCAGAGTCCCTATTGCCAGAATTTCTAGAAACATTTATTGACCTAAACTTGTGGTCAGAATGAGTAATATCATTATCTTAAATTATATTTAAATTATCCAAAAATATCCAAAGCAATTTTCCTGGAGAGAAGAAAAATGTTACTTATATGCAAAGTATTATTACATACATCCTTGGAGATTACAGTTGGGGAGCACAAAGAAACGTGTCCTTAAAAAAACAGTATTTGGATGGCAGAAAGAGAATCTGAGTCAGCAGTACCAGCTACGCTAGAATTTAGTTACAAGTTTGGGAACTTTTTGAAGTAGCATTACTAATACTTCCAGAAGTACAATAAAGAAATCTAAAACAATAAAAACTAACAGATAATGCTTAGCTCCACATTTTGGACACCTGATTGAATTCACCTCTAAAAATGTAGATAAAAAATTATATATTCCTTGTTTGTGACATTTGATTTCCAAAGCACCAAGGCAAAATAAAGACAGGCCCACCTCTCGTTTAATACCAAATGCCTATGGCAAACATCTGCATGATATCATATAAAAAGTCAAGCAAATAAAATTACATAATAAGCAAACTCAAATCACAGTGCTTTAAAAAATATAATCATTGGTAATCTTCAGCGAAGGCATGGCCTCATTAACATTCTGGTCTAGACGATGGTATTCCACTGTTTTAGAACAAAGACCATCACGCCATTTCCTGCTTTGAACCAGAAGGAAAATCTGGAATAAAACAAAATAAATTATATACATACAAAAGAGAAAACGGAGATGCTAAAAGGTTTTATAACAAGTGAAATACTTCTCTCCTAGGTTCCCAAATACAAAAAGTAAAATACCAACAACTAAAGAATTATTTTGTAAACGAGGCTAGACAGTGATTTCCGAATTTTAATGGACATAGCGTGCCTTTAATTAAAGACTGATCCCTGGGTTCTATCTTCGGAGATGAGTTAGTAGATGGCAGTAGAGTCCAAGGAACCTACCTGTTTAACAAGTCCCTTAGGTGTTTATAATAGAGATGGCTCAACACTGAACCCTGGGATAGAATATCCCTGGCATTCAAAGTTTTGACCATCTACAAATATTTACAAAAATAGTGATAGACCACTAAACAGCAAACAACCAAAAGGATTTGTTTGTTAGCTTGTTTTCTAACTCAAAGCCACAAATAAGGCATTTTGAAATTATCTGTTTTGTCATTTCTCAGGTGAGAAAATCAAGGTCCGAAGGGAAAGGTGGCTGGCCAGGAATCACAAGCAAATTACAATAAAGTCAAAAACTGTGATTTCCTGACCAGTAAGTATTAAAAAGGTCATTGTGTGTTCGACCTCCCTTTAAATATTTGAAAAGCTTAACTATTCAGCTCTGGGACTAAGAGCGCCAAGATGCACCCTCACAATAAATTACCCATTCAGTCTATTTACACCTCCTTTGCCTCATGGAATCCAACAAACAGATTCCAGTATGGAAATGTTCATCACAACATTATTTCTGAACCCAAAATTGGAGACATCTAAATGTTCAATTGGAAAACAGCTAAATAAATTATGTAGCTGTTAAATCACGTTTTTAAAGAATATTAATGATAGTGGAAAATGCTCATAATTCATCAGGTAAAAAGGAAGATACAAAGTTCCCATGAGATCAAATTCACTTAAAAATTATAACATCCACATACATGTCTGAATTATATACATATTTATAGACCATTGTTAACCAAAATGTTAACAATGCTCAGTTTGGGGTGGTAGCTTATATTTTCTTTACCATGCTTTTCTGTGTTTTCCAAATTCCCTAAAATAAACATGTAATACTTTTACAACCAGGAAAAACAGTTATTATAATATCACTAAGTTCACTGCTTAATTAATTAAAAGTACTAAATTAACAATCTTTCTCCACAAGTATTCCCATTGAAGCAACAATGCTAAAGTGAGATATAAAACCTTTTTTTGAGAAAAAAATTGCTGGGTTTTGGTTTTGCTCATTAAAAAGTAATTTGATTCCTTTTCTTAAAAGCAAATGTAATAAAGCACTCTGTCTGTAATTTGTTAAAATATACCAGATTTATAAACAGATTAGACATCTCAATATTTTACCATCCATTTAAACTTGACTAACGAAAAAACTGAATCATCAAAAGTGATAATAAGAAATGTGACTGGGGGCCGGCCGAGTGGCTCAGTTGGTTAAGAGCGCACTCAAGAGTGTGAGCTCTGAGCAACAGCGGTTCGAGTCCCGGCCCGAGCTGAGCTGCCAACAGGTGGCAGGATGGCTCAGCTAAAAAGAAAAAAGAAATGTGACTGGGATATTAAAGAGCAACAAGAGGGGTTGCGAAATGCCAAACCTACCTTCCTTTTGTTGTGATACGTAATGTAAACAACAGCAATGCAAAAAGCAAAAATAATAAGATGAAAAAAGAAATGGCTATCTTCCTCTTCTACATTTGAGGATGGGGTCTTAAAAGATCTTGCGGACTGTTCAATTTCCATGTAGCCCCTGTTTTCTTCCAAGGCCTCACTGGACTCATCGTCCCTGGGGTTGGTGGTCCAGTCGTAGTCTGGTTCTCCGTAATCGCCATTGTCCAGAGTGTCTTTGGCGGTGGACGGGGAACTGTTCAGCGTGAGAAGATCCTCCTCCTCTATGCTGGGATCTTCATTGTTATCAGCTTCCTCTTGAGACAGGGCGGTGGTAGGGGCGGGACGAGGGGCCACAGACGCCCCTCCATTTTTCTCTGTATTAGTTGTGGGAGGGAGAGTGGTGCTGGTTTGGGAAACAGAAGGTTTGGTCTGGTTTTCATGTTTTAAAACAGCACTCGTATTTGGAGTAGAAACATCTGGCTGGAAGACAATTTGGCTCTGTGAATCAGACGATGATTGAGCTAAAATAAGTGAATAAAGGACATTAAGGTGAAATCTCTGACTCTATCTCCATCAAGCTAGAAGCATATGTACCTAAATGTTTCACTGAGCATTTCTACTTGCTAAGTTCCTCTATCTGGCTCTCGAGGATTAGTTAATGTGTCTCAAAAGCCAACCATCAGTTACTTTTCTTCTTAGTCAATTATTCATCAGCTAATAATTACTTTGCCAGACAGTAATGCCTTAAGAAGCAAAGACCTACTGCATTACATCATCTGCCACCAAGAAAAAAAAAGAAAAAACAGAGACAGGTTTGGCTTCAGGTGACAAGGCAACGTCCACACAGAGCTCTCACCCACCCCTTCTGTTTTCGTTTCACAAAGAGGTTGGACTTCAGTAAGCCTTGCCCAGACTCCACCCCGTGGCCAAAACAGAAAGAGAGGTGGCTGATCCTTGCTCAAGTAGGTCACAAACTGGATAGGAAATTTGAACTTAAATATTTTCAACACACTACAATAAATTCTAGAGAAGCTAATGTAGACAGCATTTCTAAGTGATACAAGAACTGGAAAACCCCTTCTCCCAAATTAAAAAAAAAAAGTTTTCTTAGGGAGAAGAAAGGGAAAACTCCGAAAGGAAAAGAATTGGAAACTGGAACTTAAAAACTAAGTATGAAATAGACTATTTTAAAGATTGGGGAAGGCAATCTAGATATGGGGATGACACAAGTATGTACAAGCTCTTATTTCCCTGTTCCTACCCACTCAGCATGGTTTACTAAAAGTTAAATTATTTACAGAAGTTGCTCTACGTACCAAAAGTTCAGAGGACTATCTGTTGAAATTTAACAGTATGTCAAATTTATAGACTAATGTACTATCTGTTGAACAACTTCAAGAGTATCCATTATACTTTTTTAAAAACTGCATGTGAAATATAAAAATACTCACATAATATTTTAAAGTCTATCAAAGTAAAATAAAATATTTCATAGGGGTAAAATTAAACCAAAGCATTCCTGCGCTTTCAAAAAGGTGTGCATGCACACAAACGAACGATCTCACAGACCAGTCTTTGTTTATGTAACTACACTCTTGTTTCTGTATCAAAGCTGACGTCTATTTTGTGTAGAAAAAAATAGCTAGTCTCCACTGGACTGAATAGAATCCCTCAGAAAAAAATAATTTAGTAAATTAGTAAAAAAAATTATTACATTAGTAAAACCCTCATAAAACATTTTCAACAGTTGGTTCCTTGAAATTTTTCACTGGAAGAAAAGAAACAGGACTACAACTGACTACATTGTTCAGAAAGCTATTAACAGGACTTTCCTAAAAGGGTTTTTACATTTATCACCTCAACTTAGTTATGATTCAGGCATTTACAAATTGCTATTTCTCCGATATATTTAATTTTTCCTGCCAAAGTGTGGGGAAACATGTTTTAAAATACAAATTTTAAACTGGGAGCCAACAAACTAAACTTGACTTTGTAAAAACTTGTTTTTCTCTACTTGACTTTTGGGATAACCATGTATGTGTAAAGGACACAGTCTGACATGGGTGGGAATTATCATAATTTGTCCCTATCTTCCACCCCCTCCATGTCCAGAAACCCTTCACTGTGCACTCTAAAGTCAGTCAGTCATCAGCAAATCCCTTCTTCCATCCCTCATTTTCTTATTATAATTGAAACTTGAATCTCCCTTAAGGACACGCTTTCCCTGCAGCTCTTTTCATTAATAGCTCTTTTTTCTCCCCCATCTTTGTACCACTGAGTCTGGAGAGGGAACTGTTCACCTGGAGAGGAGGTGGAGCCCCTTTCTGACCATTCTCCCCCTCCCCTCCCCACATGGCCCCAGCCTTGGTTCTCCTATTATCAGCTATCATCCACTAACCTTTGTCCACCAACTCCTGGTCATAGTCCCTAATTCTCAATTATTTTAGCTCCTGGCTTGAGTTCACTCTACCCAAGTATTCCCATCTTGATTTCAAAATCTTTGACCGTCCTTCCTCTGATGAGCCAGCCCTCCCCTCCTTTACCCTAACCTCTCACTCCCACGGTCATTATCTATCATCACAATTCTTACAGAGTCTCAATGTCATTCATCTCATTCACTGACATGACCTCCTATCCTTCTAATTCATTCCCCAGTATTCTAAATCCATCAGGACCTACAATTCTCTGATCCTACCACCTTTTCAGTCCTTCATGGACACCACCCCCTCCCCCTCACCCAATGCACTCTCTTCCCTCTTTACCCAGATTCAATTTTGTGATCAGCCATTATCCCCCTCTTACATACACCTTCAATTCCTTTTCACCTTGCTCACTTTGTCCCACTTACTTGGTGAGGCAACATCCTGAGTTAAATCAAACCCTCTGACTACTCCCCATCTACACCAAGCAGCTGGGCATGGCTAGAAATAAATACACAACCATGCCACTGTTTTTATTGCATTCTAAATTCAATGCCAAAAATTTGGGTGTACATGTAATGCTGTTGGCAATTGTACTGCATTTCCCTAATCCTTTCCCCCTCCTGTTCCCTCAGGAGACAATTCATAGTTTCCTCTGTCCTCAAACTCCCAACACCTTCTCTGTTGTCCTCATTTTCAACTAATGACATCACTTACTAACTTCTCTGGGGAAAATGAAGTCATCAGAAAAGACTCTCATGAACTACCAGAACTCTAGACTCATAAGTCCAAAAGCCTACTTGAAATCTCCTCTTAGATGTCTGACATTCAAATTAACATGTTCAAAATGCATTCTGACTTTGGCTTCCAGGAAGATGGAGCAGACATACTTTTCCCTGTTCCTCCCACTAAACACGACTAAAGCCCAGCAAAAAACACAAATGTCTAAATGTCAATTTCTTCTTAGAGGATTAAATGACCCAAACAATCATGCTTCTTAAGCACTTTAAGAACAGGCATGCCTGCATCAGCTAGGGAATCCTCATTATAGTGTATTAATGATGAAAGGGCCTTGGGTAAATTGACCACGATTCTTCCCCACAGACATAAAAACACTTCTGGGAGGATGGTCCACCTGCCCTGCCCTCAGTGCTTCTGGGAAAACCTAAGCAACCACAGCACTTGAGTAGAGGAACGTATGGTTAGACAGCCCCCATTGGCAAATAAGAGAACACTATTCCTTTCACACTGTTTTTCACCTGAAAACTCAAAAAAGATTTAGAGAGAAAAGCAGGATTGTGCCGGGCCTGAAAGAAAAAAAAAGGACTATAAACAAAATACTGCTTAATCATTGTAAGCTCCTATTAGTGGATTTGTTCCCCCTAAGTTTCAGGTCCTGGTTACAGGTTGCCTCATTTCTCAATGAAGTCTTCAATCTCTTGATTCACAATGTAACATTTCTAAGAAAATAAATTATTTACAACATCAAGCATTATTTACAACAATCAAGATATGGAAACAACCTAAGTGCCCGTCAATGAATGAATGAATATGGAAGATGTGAGATATACGTACATACATGGAATATTACTTGGCCATTAGAAAAAAGAATGGAATCTTGCCTTTTGCAACAACACAGATGGACCTTGAGGGAATTATGCTATAGGTCAAAGACAAATACCATACAATTTCACTTATATGTGAAAACTTTTTTTAAAAAATCAAAACAAGACGAACAAAAAAGGCCAAGCTCTAGATACAGAGAACAGATTGGTGGCTGAGGGCCGTGCCGGTGGGGCCCTACAGGGAGTCAAAAAGCACAAACTTCCAGTTATAAAATAAATAAGTCATGGGGATGTAATTTACAGCATAACTATAGTTAATGATATTGTATTGCATATTTGGAAGTTGTTAAGAGAGAGTAAATCTTAAAAGTTCTCATTACAAGAAAAAGAACTGTAACCATGTATGAGGACCTATGGTAACTAGACTTATAACGGTGATCGGTTTGCAGTGTATACAAATATCAAATCGTTACGTTGTACACCTGAAACGAATATAATGTTATATGTTAATTATACCTCAGTAAAAAAATAAAATAAAAGTTTAAATTTTTTAAATAAAAAATACGTAAGTCCGATGGATCCATTAAAATGAAGCAGGGTTGTCCAGTTAACCCAGGACTCAGGGAAGGGAGGCCATGTTGACAAAGACTCTTCCTTGTCCGGAACCCACCTCCTCCTCCCAAGCCCCTCCGCAGCCCCATGCCTCCGGATTCTGGCTCTTCACCAAGCACCAGAACCTCGCAGACCTCAGAGATGCACCAGTACCTTCACTTTCGCTCTCCAAAATATGCCATCCGCTCAGTGGGGTCACGGCCCCTGCCCGCCTTGGTCTTGACCACTGACCTCACCATCCTGCCTCGGCCCTGCCAGAACCCTGGGTGCCCCCTCCCAGCCCTGACCCTCCCTAGACACCACGCCTCCTGACCTCGGCCGTCTCCTCAGCACCTGTCTCCTCTGCCCCATCTTCGCCTAATTCTGGAGGGGTTAGAGGGCCTCTAATTCCGGAGATCCTCCACCTCCACTCCCTGTGGGAACCCACTCTTCAGGACTCGAGACAACGCCGCCACTCCCCCTCCCCGCCCATCTACCCTCGGCTCCTGCTTCCTGGGTCCTGCACCTCTCGGCCTCAATTATCAGGCCTCCTAGACACCCCCGCTCCTTAGGCTCCCTCAGACAGCCTACCCTCCCTCCTCGGGCCCGCAGGGACCCCTGCCCCATCTAGACATCCCCCTCTGCTCCGGACACAAGGAAGCGCCCTTTCCCTGGCCCCGCCGGCTCCCGGCCCGCGCACCGGCCCTCTCCGTCTTCCCGCGCCCGCGCCCCCTTTACCACTGGACATGGTGGCGGACGCAAGCAGGAACGCCAGGACCAGCGGCCGCGCCAAACCCCCGGGGGCCCGGATGCCCAGCCTGGGCGGCAGCTTCGCTTGCGCGACCCCACTCATCCTCTTCAGGGCGACAGCGGCCATAACGGACTCGGCCGGGAGTCTGCGCTGTTGCTAGGCTCTACGTCATGACGTCAGACACTGCGTAAGGCATCACGGCCCTAGATCCGTACGTCCCCGCGTGATGACGTCGCAGCCTGGCTCCAGGCCCTGGAAAAGGGAGTAAGAAAGGAGAGTGGAAGATGCGGCAAAGGGGAGCCCCCTAACTCGGCTGCGGGTTAAGGGTGTAACGTGTAAGGTGTGAGGAGGGTCAGAGCGAGCCCCGCCCTGCCGCCCACGTGATGGGATACCATACAGCTAATAAAAGTGATTTCAAACATTAAGGGCAGCCGGTTAGCTCGGTTGGTTTAAAACATTATTAAAAGGGAGAACCAACTGTGTAATCGACCGATCCCTAAAGGGAAGTAACTGCCCCCCCACCCCCCCCAAAGGCGAAGGAAACACAAATGCTAACAGTGGTCATATCTGGGTGGTGGAATTATAGATAAATGTTTTATTTTTTCTTTCACCATAATCATGTATTACTTCACCAAATATGTAGCACCTCTCCGTATTTCAGTATACAGCAGTGAACAAAACGAGCTCCTGTCTTTGTGGTGTTTATTTTCTTGTGAGGGAGACTGCAGTGTAAAATACACACTATATAAATTGGAGAAAGTATTATGGTGGAAAAGCTGGGAAACAGGCTAGGAAATAGAGGCCCACACAGCTTCCACATCTCCTACAATTAACTTCTGTTACTTCTTAAATGTTGTAACTTAAAATCCCCAATGTATGAAAATGCAAATTTAGAAACTTCCAAGGAGTCCCCTTAAGGCCCAGACAATGCTTTGGTCTGTATGTGCTGTGACTGTTTCCTTAATAAACATCTATAGGCTTCAAATAATAAAAGTCCCATTTGATCTGTTTGCAGCAAAATCAGTGTATCACAAAGCAAGACATTTACTAAACCCCCCCGTTTCTCCACGGTGCGGTCTCCATGATTCCCTCAGAATGTTGCTGCTATGCCCCAGACACAGCTGAGCTGCCTCTGAAGAGAGAAGGGCCTGTGTTCTCCTGAATCTGGTTTCCCTGGTGACAGCTCAGAAACACACAAACTCTACCTTGTTAAGAAAACTAAGAGGTCATTCATCTGTTCATTTCCCCAAGTCCACCACAAGCCCAGAGACTGAATGGTGCCCTTGCTGCAAACCTTGCAGGTAGCCAGGGTACAACCAAGTCTTCCGGAGTTCCCCTGGCGCTTTCCCTCTTAAACTGAGGACAGAAATCACCACTCAGCTTACGGGGTAAGCCTCTCAATTCTAGCTGCTGCTTGTCAGGAGATTCAGACTTAAACAGACCTTTATCTGTTACACACACTTTCAATCCTCTTTTTTGTCCACTTTGTTCCTCTGTCCCCATACCAGATTGTTTCAGTTCCCTTACTGGTGAGATATGAACTCAAGGCACCTTGCACGATATTCTGACATGCATGCCACATACAACAGGCAGATATTCCCTCATACTCAGAGGGCCTTTTATACATTTCAAAATATCAGTACTGTACCTGGCGTCTGACTGATGTACCCAATATCTAGTATTTGCAAAAAATCTCGGGACAAATTCAACAAAGCTTACTTTGAAATAGCTGCATGTCTTTATGAACCTGATGAAGACAGTATGACAAATACTGAGGCCAGCAGGTTTGACGTGATCAGTTACACAAAACACTAGAAGTAAATCTGATACCTGTTTGGAATTAATCACTTCCAAACATCCCTAAAAAGGAATTCTACCTAAAAACATATATGTCATTAAAGAGAAAAAGAGTTCATACTTATTAAAGCTGGATGTGTATGTAGTTTGTTACTATTCTATTTTATAAATGTTTGAAATTCCCACAATCAAGTTATTTTTTAAACTATATGGCAGAATCCTAAAACCACCCCCAGTGACCCATGCCTTTGTATGATTCCCTGCTCTTGAGTATGGGAGGGGCCCATGAATATGATGGGATAGCACTCCTGTGATAAGGTTGTTACATGGTAGTTGTTTTGTTTTGTTTTGTCTTTAAATTTTTATTGGGTAACTGTGTTTTCTCCAGGACCCATTAGCTCCAAGTCAAGTCATTGTCCTTCAATCTAGTTGTGGAGTGCACAGTTCAGCTCCAAGTCCAGTCGCTGTTTTCAGTCTAGTTGCGGGAAACCGCAGCCACCATCCCATGCAGGAATCAAACCGGCAACCTTGTTAAGAGCATGCGCTCTAACCAACTGAGCCATCCAGTTGCTTAGCTCAAGTCGTCTTCAATCTAGTTGTGGAGGGCGCAGCTCACTGGCCCATGTGGGAATCGAACCAGCAACCTTGTTGTTCAGAGCACACGCTCTAACCAACTGAGCTAACAGGCCACCCGGCACAATTGACTTTATGGAAAATTATCCTCAGTGGGTCTGACCTAATCAGGTGAGCCCTTGAAAGGGGTGGGGCAGTTATAAGTTATGGGGATGTAATATACAGCATGGTAACTATAATTAATGGTACTATGTTATATACTCAAAAGTTGCTAAGAGAATAGATTTTAAAAGTTATCACAAGAAAAAATTGTAACTGTATGGTAACAAATGTTCAATTTATTGTGGTCAGTTCTCGGTGTACATAAATATCAAATCATTACATTGTACACTTGAAACTATTATGTTATGTGTCAGTTATCTCAATAAGAAAATAAACATTTTAAAGGGGTTAGAGCTCTTCCTGGAGATTTGAGGTGTGGGAGGGATTTGACGGTGAGTTTTTCTGTTCCAGCTTTGAAGATGGAGGGGACCACATGGCAAGGAACACAGGAGGGTCCCTTTGCTGACAGGGGCCCCTAGCAGATGGCCAGCAAGGAAATGGGGACCACTATCCTACAATCGAAAGGAACTAAATCCTGCCACAACCACATGAGCCTGGAAGAGGAGCCCAGGCTCCTTATGAGAACACAGTGTGGCTGACTTCCTAACTTCAGCATTGTGAGAACCTTAACAGAGAGCCCAGACACAATGTACTCGGACTTCTGACCTACACACCTGTGAAATAAATGAGTGTTGTTTTAAGCCACTCAATATGTCTCACACACACACACACACACCCGAGCAAAGGGCCAAAGAATAAGACCAAATGCCCTGTTTACTTACACTGGTTTGTTTTTTGTTTTTTTTAGCTGAGCCGTCCTGCCACCTGTTGGCAGCTCAGCGGCAACTCAGTTCGGGCCGGGACTCGAACTGCTGTTGCTCAGAGCTCAAACCCTTGAGCGAGCTCTTAACCAACTGAGCCACTTGACCAGCCCTTACTTACACTTTTATTAATAAAGACAACAGAAGATGAGGTTTCAATATTTTATTCAAGTTTTATTTTAAGTGATGTTAATTACAGCATTTGAAAGGGAGGATCTAATTCCACACAAAATGGAAGACTCTAAAATGTACCCATTAAACTGCTAAAAAATAGACTGAGTGGCGAGAATACAACAGAAGTCTAATTTAGGTTCTGAGTGTTGTCACCATGTGATTACAGTCACAGAGACTCTTCCCAGCTTACAGCTGGAGCTCTTGAAAGCTATTTCATACTCTGGTGCAAGGGCAAAAAACCACAACATGAGAGGGAATTAAATCCTGAATAATTGGCTTCGTCACATCTACCTTCTCCACCCCAAAATGGCACAAAAGAAACAACTACCACGCCCTGCAGACTACTTTTGGTGTAAAAGAGGTGATGGACTGGAGTGGAAACAGGTCATGAAGATCGGTCTAAAAAAGTCCCTTCAGATGAGTTTGTACACACCATCAAACAGTGAGACTCGCTCCGTTAGGGTCGGAAACCAAAGTTCAGTTCTCAGGAAGTCACAATTTCATTCATTTATGCAATACAAATTTACAAAGTGCTTACAAATCATCAGCTTCCACTTGCAGCCATTTCTAGATAAAAAAGAAACCTGACATCTCTAGAGGGGCCACCAAGCTCCCTCCCAAGTCTACAGCTGAAAGGATCTTTTTTTTGGAATTGGGTTTCTTCTGTACCTCTGAAAGGGTAACACCTTAAAGCTGAATCATCTTTAACCTGGAGGTCTAACGTAATATTTAGCAACACTTGCATCCCAGACATACGACATTAAAAGGTACACTACATTTTGAAGGTAGCTATGCTGCAAAATAGTTTAAAATTAAACGATTGTACAATATCCATTTATGCTTGAAATTCCAGTCCTAGACCAAGCTTGTGGCCACCAGCATTGACATTCTTGCCATCCAGCAGAGCTGACAGCGTCAGTTTGATACCTGTAGGGGAAAATCAGGAAGGAGGAAAGAAAAGAGAAGAAAGGTTAACACAGAGAGAGCAAAGAAAGACTGACACAGAGAAGACTGACACACAGAAGAATGCTTGAGCACACTGGCAAAACCACACAATTCAGAACCTGTTCCGGCTGTGTGTGATCAGCAGGGGGAAAAAAACCACATGGCCCTTTAATTCCTGCTACTTAACACCATCTGATTATTAATAGGTAGCCTCGAATGAGCTTATAAAACAATCATTATTATTCCACAGCCTACCCAAATCCACTCTAGGGACTCCACTTTCCTTTTTCTTCTCGTTGTTCCCTACTACAATTATTCTCTCTACCATTGGTACCAAGCAGTAAGCTCCTTCAGCAAAAATCCCCTTAAAATTAAATCCCAATCAGGAATCAGACGCCGAGCTCTTACATTCACATTCACAGCATGCATACTTGCACACACGTATGAGTACATGCATGTACGTACACACACACACACACACACACACCTAACTTATATTTTCCCTAGGATAACTTGATTATGACATGTAATCTTAGATTTCTAGGGTTCAAAGGCCCATCTTGTCCAAAATAACCCCAAGCTGGTACTATCTCCTATGGCTATAACATACCAGAGACTAACCAACTGCAGAGGAAACCTGCAGACCAGTTTTACCACGGGGATGACTTATGGGCTAGTTTTAAGAGCCTGCTGGAAATTAGTTTCAAACATTAGGTACACTGGGAGAAAAAAAGGATGGAAGCAAATAACCAAAAACATATGTTAGCCTTGGTCTTTTTCTCTCCTACCTGCTACTTCTTTTCTCCAAATGTTTTCTAATGCCTCTGCACTCCTTTATAAACATGTCATTAGAAAACTTTATAGACACTCATTTACAATGTATACAGGCATTTTATAAGCAATGACATAAAGCAGCAAACCAGCACCACAATTTTTTTTTAAGACAAAGAACGAATTTCACACACAACCAACACATACCTGGCTTGAGGGTCTGCGTGTATCCTAAACCTATCAGGCTGGAGTTATTCACTTTCGCCTAGTCAAGGAAAAGAGAAGACAGAATGAAAATATTTAGTACTTCACGCTTCCATCTCCAAAATGAATACGAGGTTTTTCATCACCCAACTCCGGACTTCAGAATCACATTCTCTTTTTTTTTCATGACCACTTGGTTTATGGGATTCATTAAATTCAATAGGAAATATACCAAATTTGGGAGCTTGGTCTCAGAAGAGAAACTCAACGAGTCAACATAATTTTCAATTAAAAGGAAGTTATTTACATTTGATTTCTAAAGGTGTGAATGCCCAATTTCTTTCCTTCCCCCAACTGCATGTATACTGAGTAGGTCTGTATTTAATTTATAACATATGAGGACACTTTCATTTATGGCCAGAGAGATAAAACTTTCTAGGATGGAGGATTTCTTAAAGATCTATTTGTTGGAATAAGGGAAAACAGAGCAAATGTCAGACAAGGTTTTGAGGCTTTTTTTTTTTTTTTAAGATAGAACTCTGTTAGAAATTTTTTCATCATGAAAAAGAGAAACAAAAATCCCACTGACATGAAGCAAGTTCAGCACTGACATGCTTAAATTTAAAATGTCTATAGTAGCAAGACAATGAACCAGCCAATCACTTAAATTTCAGCACTTAGTGAATGTGGATTAATACTCAAGTTCAATAAAGCAGCTGAATCCATAAGCATTCTGCCCTCATCCTTCCGCCTGAGTCGTCGGGAAACCTGGGCCTCTCCCTGACCCCTTTCTGGTGAAATAACAAGAGGTCAGGAGCAGAGCAAGCTCAAGCCACAAGAACACCAAGTCCTGGTAAGAGCTGGGCTGCCGAGCTGCTTATTTTTCTGCCCGAAGGCTATTTTCAGACCTGACATCTCCCATCAGAAAGAGCAGCGCAGGAGGGAAGAAAGGCCGCCTGGCAGTCAGCGCCCCATCTAGCCATTCCTTTTTGCACATACCATCCAAGTAACGAGGCCCCTTTCCCTTCGTTTTTACATGCTTAACATTCAAGGAGCCAAATTCAGTTCCTATTTCAGGAGACTTAAAATGGGCTCTCTACAAATTACACAAACCAGCCCAGAAACCGTCCTGCAATATGAGATTTCCTCATTCCACCCCAAAAGGGGTGCAGCTGGCAGTGCCCTGCCTGTGACATCAGAAATTGAGCTCGACAGGATTTAATACAAAAACGACAGTGCAGCAGCCCAAGGATGGGTCCATGAGCAAAGCTACAGGGTCTGCAAGATAACACTCCAACTGCCCAATGCCAGGGCCTGTTTTCTTACTATACAATACAGGAGCTGGGCGAGAGAGTGACAAATGAGGAAGAAACGAACACATAAAACCTTAGGATTCAAGGGAACCCCCTTTACAGTCTGCAGCAAGGAACAGGGACTGGTTCCTGAGACGGAAGTACCATAGCTAGACAGTCAAATCCAGGCCCCTGCGCTTACCAAATGTCTGCCCTTGGGCTACTTACTCAACTTCTCTAAGCTTCCAGTTCCTAATTTGTGCTTGCAGAGATGGAATGTTTTTTTTAAAAAGAGGGGAATAGGCACCAACTTCAAATGGGTTGTGTAAGAATTAACTACAGTAATCCACAGGTAATGGGCCTGGCACCCACAAGAAGTACTACTACTAGTATTATTTTACTCATTTTGATCTCTTTTTCACAGTGAGAAAATCTCTAGCCAAAGCATGGAACTCCCGCAATCTGGAAGGATTCCAACCTAGGGGTCAGGTGGGGCCTGGGCTATGCCCGATTCCAGAGGTACCTACCGAGAAGCAGGCATCAGGGTCGATCTGATACTTGGCTGCTATTCCGAAGCGAGTGTTACTGTTTCCTGCTGTCCAGGCGAGATTAACAGCAGTCTCCAACTTTTTGTTCACCTTCTGATAAATAGAGCCACCAAACTCTGTCCCATCATTTCTGCAAACAAGCACAGCACAGATGTCAAGCGGCCCAGGAAGGCAGGCTGGAATGGGGCAGGGCTGCCCAAGTCTAACAGAGGGAAGGGATGCTGTAAATGGATTGAACTGATCACAAAGCAGGCACCAACTTACAGGAAGCCTGAGAGGAGTGGAACAGACACCAGAGATGGGAAAGTTCAGGGCAAGAAGGGAAGGCTATTTCAACCATCACTGGGTACAACTGAAGGCAGCTCAGTCAACTACTCAGGCTGCATGGAAGGTGAAGTTTGTTCCAAAACAGTCTTTAAGATGCAGCGGGCCAGCCGAGTGGCTCGTTGGATAAGAGTTGGCTTAGGACACCAGTTCTGATCAGTAGTTCCCCGGTTCAGATCCCACATGCAGGCCAGTGACGCTGTGCCCTCTACAGCTAAGATGGTGAACAACAGCTTGAATTGGAGCTGAGCTGCTGTGAGTCGCCAGCGACAGTGTAGGCTGCAGTGGGGCTGCAGTGGGCTGCCGTGAGCTACCATGAGTGGCCAGCAGCCAACAGCCAGCGTGAGCGGCCATGAGCGGCCGTCCAGAGGCCAGCCACCGATCTGCCTCACCTGGGAAAAGCGCAATGATAAGACCAAGCAACATGGGCTAGTGAAGCAACGTCCTCCACAACTAGACTGAAGAACAAAAGGACAGCAACTTGTCTGTTCCCCTCCCCCAATTCTCCAATAAAATCTTTTTTTAAAAAAAAAAGATGCAGCAGCTAGGGCATTGGGATTCTGGATTCTGAATTTCTTTCTTCTGCTGCTAATGTTACTACTTTTAGAATAAATGCTTGTATCATAGAAATGGTAAGTGAGGGGAAGCAAATGAAAAGAGAACACAGCCAGAAATGGCAAGAAAAGCTGTGCCACGTTTTCAGAAAGCAGGTTATGGCCCTTAGCACTACCAGCTAGCTATACAGCCACTGCTGGGGGGACACAACCAGCACTGACCCAGCTCCTTGGAGGAGAAGCGATTACAAAAGAGCTTAACCTACAATTCAGACTCGTCCACCTGTGCACACTGGTGGCCCATGCAGCAACACCTATGGTCCTGGTGGGACGTGAAAAAGAGCTACTTGCTACATTGCAAATTGTTTCTGTCTTTCAAAATGGACTGAAACCCAGGTGGCCAAACTCCTTCCTCTCTTCCTTTTTTTTCTTTTAAGATTTTATCGGGGAATTGGGGGAGAGGAACAGCGTTGGGAAATCAGGGAAGGGGAACAGACAAGTTGCTGTCCTTTTGTTCTTCAGTCTAGTTGTGGAGGACGTCGCTTCACTGGCCCATGTTGGTATTATCATTATGCTCTTCCCAGGTGAGGCAGTTGCTCGCCGGCCATTGGACGGTCGCTCACGGGCTGCAGCCTATGCTGTCGCAGGCGACCCACGGCAGCCCCAGCTCCAGGTCTAGCTGTTGTTCACCATCTTAGCTGTAGAGGGCACAGCATCACTGGCCCTCATGGGGGATCCGAACTGGGGTCCTATTGCTCAGAGCTGGCGTCCCAAGCCAACTCTTAACCAACACGCCACTCAGCCTCCTTTCTCTCTTCCAAACACACCATATTGACTCCAGCCTCTAGGAATATACCCCTCCCCTCCCTGACATTTTCAACATAAAAAAAACTGTGTCAAGTTCTGCCTCTTCATGTTGGGTGTTTCCAGTGCAAATGGCAATGGAAACTGTTAAGACAAGAGCCCATGTGTTTTGCAATCCAGCAAAAGAGCTTAGAACTCACTAAACCAAGAACTGCTGCTTTTTCATTGCAAATTGTGCTTCTCCCCAATACACTCTCCCGAAAGTAGATGCTCATTAAATACATTCTAAACTCTCAAGTTCTCCCCTGAAATACAGCCAGGCAGACCCTGTGCTTCCAGAAAGTCCAGGGAGAGCCCAGGCACTGCCTGACTCACAGGGAATCCCGGCTTCCTCAGGAAATCCAAGCTACACCCAAACAGCAGCTCATCAAAGTAACAGATGTTTGAGTGGCTTTGGTATAACTCAAATAGGGAAATTTTCTTAGGCTTCAAAGTGTTTTTCAAAACAAATTTTGTAATATATTCTAAAACCAGCAACACAGCCTGCCTAAACTGAGCTCTCAAACCCATAACAAGAGGCAACTCACTCAACTTCATCTACATGAAGCACAAAAAGCGTCTGTTACACATCCAGGCCTCTGCAAGCACCAGGGCCACCCAGATCAGCTGTGCCAGCTGTTTCCACGCCCGTTCCCTAAACAAACCATGTCCACTTCTTAAAAACCTTGAAGCAGCCACCGCCCTTCATGCCCTCCTCACCGACAGCATGCTCGGGTTCCAGCTGGGATTTACTTTTGGCAGCCTGCTTGGAATGTGCCTGGCTCAGAATTGTGACATACCGAACCTGGCTAAAAAACCTGAAGAAATTAAAAAGCACTGAGATGCCAAGAAGAAACCCCCTAGTTCATGAGGCCACCTCTAGCACTGCCTCTAGGATACACTGAGTATGCGCTTCTTTAGGGCCTCTTTACCACGTGAGCCAAAGCTTTTGTCTTACTTTCCAATCTCAGCGACTTTCTTCTTTGCGAGATCCTGTGTTGCCTTAGAGCACAAATGGGGCCACAAGTAAAGAATTATCCTAGCTTTTCTAACATCCTCACCTCTTCCCTTCCGCCTTCCAGTTGCTTGGGAGATCCTAAGACTGGAATTATGATGTTAGATTAGTGAACATATTTAATTATTAAAAAAAATATTGAAGCTCAAGTATTTGGGGGGGGAGGGCGCATTAACAACCCTTTTTCATTCCAAACGGGTGCCAATTGCCAATTCCAAACCAAGAAAGCACTTACCATTTCAGTCAAAACTCTCCATTAAAAAACACTTCTGGGGTGACTGGTTGGCTCAGTTGGTTAGAGTGAAGTTGCCGGTCTGATCCCCACATAAGCCACTGGGAGCTGCGCCCTCCCTAAAAGAGTCAACTATGCCACTGTAGCATTAAAGCAGTGTATAACCAATGGCCATAGCTGTCCCCCAATAAAAAACTTTAAAAAAATTTTTTTAAAAAAAACAACACTTCTGGGGCCAGCCGAGTGGCTCAGTTGGTTAAGAGTTCGCTCAAGAGTATGAGCTCTGAGCAACAGCGGTTCAAGTCCCGGACTGAGCTGAGCAGCCGCTGAACTGCCAACAGGTGGCAGGATGGCTCAGCTTAAAAAAAATACCGTATTTGCCGGCGTATAAGACGACTGGGCGTATAAGACAACCCCCTAACATTTCCACTCAAAATACAGAGTTTGTTATATGGTCGGCTGTGTGCGATTTTGCGAGTGTGGTAAAATCGCATAACAGCAAAATCGCATAACAGCCGAGCATACACCCAGCAGCGCTGCTGATGCCTGAACGGTATGTGGAATGAAGTGGGCGGGCATCGGGAGGCCACTATGGCATGGGGCAAGCACTATGGGCAGTCTATCTGAAGTGTACCTGGCGTATAAGACGACCCCCCACTTGGAGGCATATTTTTCAGGGCCAAAAAATCGTCTTATACGCCGGCAAATACGGTAATTTAAAAAAATTTTTAAATAAAAAATAAAAACAACACTTCTATGCTTGTGCTATTTTTCCTATGACTTTTTCTGTGTGACCTTTTTTAAATTTACATAAACTTTTTGCCCCCTTTTTGGTGTACATTCCTGTGGGTTTTATCAAAGTACATATTTGTGTGACCCCCCCACCACCACCACCACCACCACAATCAGGACACAGAACAGTTCCACCACCTCCAAATTCTCTCGGGCCACCCCTCCATACTCACACCCTCCCCAGCCCCTCCCCAGGAACCTCCGTCCATCTCTAGGTCTCCTGTGACTTTTTAGTTTTAAAAGACTCTAAATTTATTAATGATATTCAATTATATTTATTAATTATAGAAATTCCCTCAAAAAATTTTAACAGAAATGTGCTTCGTTTAGACACTAATACCATTTACTTGTCTTTCAGTTTAAGAAGTTATTTCTTTAGTGACCTCTAGTGGAAAAGAAGGAAATTTGGTAAAATTGTCCTCACTTGGTGCCACAGATCAGTTCCTCGTGTCTACCAGGATTTTACGGATGAAATTTTTGTTTCTCTTACCCTAAATCAGTACTCTACTTTAGCTCTCAAGTTTGATTACAAAGAACTCTCTCTAACCTCAGCTGTAATTTTCTCCTCCCTTCACTATACTGCCAAGGAGTTAATAAACTTTTAAATGCTCTGCCATGCAGAGAAGACGCTCTGTACTTAACTGAGCTAAGCATCTCTTAATTGGTCTCCCATGTCTACATTCCATTAAGCTGATCCCCACAGATAACATAGAGAGAGAGAGAGAGCTGTACTTTGTCCCCCGTTTTGTTAACAAAAACCGAAAGGAACCTGTACAGTCCATAAAGCTGCAGGGAAGGGAACCTCCTCAGACTGACATCATGCCCTTGCTGTCACTGATCAGTCATTCTGTGTGCACCAGTGACTGCAATGGCTGTTCACAGAAGAGACAGAAGCTAAGTCACATCAGGAAATGGATAGGTGGGAAACAAAAATACCAGCAGGCCATTTTGTTCACGAGTCCAACAAACTCAACTGACAGTGATTAAACACTGAGCTTAGAAGACAATCATGAAGCACAATCCCCCCAGTGCACACACTTGCACGCCCACACTCCCGTACACTTACACATTAGTGTGAAGCTGGAATTCATCAGTCTTGTAGCCAACCGCAAAGTTGCTCTGGGTCACTCGAGACTTTGCGGTCTCAAAATTCATCTGGTAGCCAGCCAGCCAGCCCTCATAACCTAGCACCAGGGCGCCCCGGATCGAAGGCCCCGCGATGTCGAAATCCACGTCGCAGCCCAGGTTGATATGCTCCCGCTTGTACCCTGTCTTGATTTTAGCATTTTTTTTCCTAAAGGAAAAGAAATTGTATTAAAATCAGAAGCTCACTCACCTTGAGACAACCAGGCCAAGAAATACAAATTTGAAATAAAGAATCCCAGCTGAAGTCAGGAGGTAGGGGGGCAAAGTCAGGGTCCCAGGCCCCCCTTAAACAGCTGCTGTGCCCCAAGGGACAGCACACAGCCCCTCAACTGCATCCTAGCCGCAGAAACGGCGCAATGACAAAGTGAGAACACGTGCCTGACACAAAAGCACTCAGTCACTTTCTCTCACTATCCTCTCCCTGTTAAATGCAGTGGCCAACACAGGCTTTTGTTAGGTAGAATGCCACCGTGTAATTACACATGTCATGAAGGCACTATCTACACAGCAGCTCTTAGGGAGATGGTCGTCTTCTTACTTTGTGACTCACTTAAGTGAAAAAAGAAATAAAAACTAGAGCCCATCTAAGTAAATACAATGGTTAGACGGCTTTTAATTCAGTATTCATGAGACCCCAGTGAGTATATATTTCAGAGAACTGGGTACTGATACAGAACTTGGAGCCCTGCAGTCATGGGGGCCAGGAAGACCACAGGTCTAGTCTGCTGACCCCAGACTTGTGTATATGACCCGGTCAGTGCTTCTCTTGCCTATTATTCCAGACCCAGCAATCCTCAGGTAAAGTAGGTGAGTTGTGTCACCTGCAAACACAGTATCACCATGCCTTTTACCAAAAGTCAACGCTGAAAACAAGATCACATCTACCAAATAAAATTGAGACTACGGTATTTGTGCCGGAGTGTTTCTGTCACTCAGCTCCAAAAGGGACACAGAGAGCCAGCTGTGTCCTCAGCAGAGCCCACAGGGGAGGCCAGATCTGCCCAGAGGCCCAAGGACTACACAGCCATGTCCACCCCAGCTCCATTCCCAGAGGTTAAAGCCTCATCCCCAGCGCCCAGACTGCCAGCCCTAAACACCGTTCCCTCCTAAAAGGAACCAGTGCTCCTCGGAGAAACAACAGGCTTCAGGTCAGGGCAGGAAGTGTGCAAGGTGAGCTTGAAGCATCTGTCAAAAACTAGTATTGACACGGGGGCAAAAGGACCAGTATTGAGGGCTATCCTGAAGAGGTTTCCGAGGGTTTCAAACGAGGGACAATGTGAGCATCAAGAAAATATCAGCTATGGATTGAAACATATCGAATGTCTAAATCTATGAACTCATAACGACCAACTACACACCAATTAGTCACCTTTATAGACTAGAGAACCAGTTGGTAAATTTGAAAACGGTAAATAAAAAAAAGGAATCCAACAGTCATCCCACCTTTCCTGTACTATGTCACAAAGTAACCAAATGGTTGCTGAGAAGTTTCCTTTTATCGAAATACTCCAGCTAATACATGAAGAAGGATCATATATGGCACTAACATACAAAAAGAAAACCAGGTCTTCTGTGTGCATCCCAGTGCGAGCAGACAGCACCACTTACAAGTACATGAGTATGTTCACACACCCCCCACTCCAAGTGGCATCTGTTTGTGATGCAGCCTCTCCACTTACCAATTCACAGAAATACGGGGCACAGGGGAATCGGTTAGATGTCACCACAGAGATGCAAACAGCAAAATGTATATGTGATTCTACAGGACAAATGATCTAGTTTCAACAAATAAATGGCAAGGGGAAAACACAGAGAGGAGAATCTAAAAATTCAGAGATTTAGGAGCCATATGAACCAATTTTTGTAATTCTTCATGAACAATTTTTTATTCTGTAAGAAAAAAAAATTTTTCATGAAATCATGTAAATCTGAACAGACTAGAGATTTGTAAATATTTAGAAATTATGATTTTTTTTTACAATGTGATGATATTGTGGTAATACTTTTTCAAAAAAGAAATCTTATTTATAAATACATATTAAAATATTTACAGATGTAATTATGTGATATGTTATTCACTTCAAAATAATCTGAGGGTGGGAGGGACTAATTATGAATGTATAAATAAAACATGACTACCCATGGCCATGTTTATTAAAGCTGGGTGATAATTTTTAAAGTTGGGTGATGGGAACATGATGAGGGTTTAATATACTTTTCTGCATTCTTTTGTATGTTTGAAATTTTCCATAATAAAACATTTTATTAAGGTTAAACAGCCCAAGTCCTCAAGGAGACAAGAAATTCAAAGGTCACAGTTGAAAATAAAGCCAACACTGTGCCCAAGTGACAAGGAACTAGCAACTTTTGTTGCTTTTGTGCATTTTCAAGGAAAGGCATAAGCACCAAATTCTCTCAATAAGAAAGACTCAAACCTATTTTGGTCTGCCTGCTCTCTCAAGTAAGAAGCCTGGATTTTGGCCAAGTATCCAATTGGTACCAAGGTGGGTGGGGTGATTAATGAAGACAGCTGCTCAGAGGCTGACATTTAGAAAGAGAGGGAGACTAAGAAATGTAAAAACTGAGCATCCTATAACTAACTACTAGGTAAAAAATTGTTGCTGGGGCCGGCTGAGTGGCTCAGTTGGTTAAGAGTTGGCTTAAGAATGCAAGCTCTGGGCCGGCCAAGTGGCGCGATGGTTAAGAACTGGCTTGGGATGCCAGAGGGCCCCGGTTTGGATCCCACATATGAGGGCCAGTGACACTGCCCTCTACAGCTAATATGCTGAACAACAGCTCAACCTGGAGCTGGGTTGCCATGAGTCGCCTGCGACGGCGTAGGCTGCAGCCCCTGTGGCAGTGGGTTGCCATGGGCTACTGTGTGTAGCCAGCAGCCACCGTGAGCGGCCGTCCAGAAGCCGGTGACTGATCTGCCTCACCCGGGAAGAGCGCAATGATGGTGCCAACTTGGACCAGTGAAGCAACGCCCTCCACAACTAGACTGAAGAACAAAACAACAGCAACTTGTCTGTTCCCCTTCCCCCAATTCCCCTGCACTGTTCCCATCCCCCAATTCCCCAATAAAAATCTTAAAAAAAAAAAAGATTGCAAGCTCTGAGCAACAGGGCCGCCCATTCAATTCCCACAGGGGCCAGTGACGCTGCGCCCGAACTGAGCTGCCACTGAGTTGCCAACAGGTGGCAGGATGGCTCAGCTGGTGTAACAACAAGATTGCCTGTTCGATATTGGGCTATGCCCACCCGCAACTAAGACTGAACTCGGCACCTTGAGCTGAGCTGCCACCCGGATGGCTCAGTGGACAGAGCGTGTGCTTATAACAACAAGGCTGCTGGTTCAACTCCCACATGGGATGGTGGCTACACCCACCCGCAACTAAGATTGAACACAGCACCTTGAGCTTAGAGGCCACAAGCTACCGATGGGAAGCCAGATGGCGACTGGAGAGCTCCACAACAAAGATTGAAGAACAACTTGGCTGGTCCCCTTCCCCAATTCCCCAGCACTGTACCCCTCCCCCAATTCCCCAATAAAATCTTTAAAAAGAAAAAATAAAAAAAAGAGTTGGCTTGGGAGCGCGAGCTCTAGCAGCAGGGCCGCCGGTTCGGTTCCCTCACCCTCTACAGCTAAGACTGTGAACAACAGCTCGACCTGAAGCTGGGCTCCCATGAGTGGCCGGCGACCGCGTAGGCTGCAGCCCCTGCTGCAGTGGGCTGCTGTGAGCTACAGTGAGTGGCTGGCAGCCAGCGTGAGCAGCCAGCAGCCGGCAAGAGCTGCCATGAGCCACCATGAGCAACCATCCAATGGCTGGCAACCAGCTGCCTCAGCCAGGAAAAGCGCAATGATCATAATACCGACATGGGACAGTGAAGCAGTGTCCTCCACAACTAGCCTGAAGAACAAAAGAACAGCAACTGTTCTCCTTCCCTGATTCCACAACGCTGTTCCTCTCCCCCAATTCCCCAATAAAATCTTAAAAAAAAAAAAAAAAAAACAATTGCTGACCACGAAATGCAATGCCTATGGCAGTGCCTCTGACCAGTGGTGTGCACCAGCCACACCAGACAGTTTACACAGCACCTCCACACAGTGTCTCCCTGGGTTCTGGCCAGGGACACAAGGTCCCCAGAGAATGGGCAGTGCTGGGGCAGTGGCTCAGGTTTCCCTCCAGGTTTCTGAACTAATATAGCATTCCATGCCTCTGGAGCTACAGCTGTTTCAGATATTAATAAGATTTTTTTATTTAAACAGTGGTGCTAATTGGACAAGCTCCTGAGAGAGGCATGACTCTGATTTGTGGTTAACAAGCTGGCTTTATCTGTGGTAGGCGCTCATGACTGGTGCTGGTCCCTAGATGAGGTCTGCAGCCTCATCCAGGTATGGTCATGCTCGGCTTCTTATGGAAGCTGGGATGCTTTCCCAGGCTACTCCCCTCAGCTGCTTTGAAAAGCCAGCTCTCATTTCCAATCTCCATCAAGTTATCAAAACTTTCCTCAAATACCCAGAAGCAATGTTACACCTTGCACACGAATCTTGATTTTCAAACAGCATTCTTCAATAAAAGGAATCAAGGCTCCTTGGAGAAATGGCTGACAGCAGGGCTAAGGAAAAACAAGTAGAAGATGAGTCTGGTACATCTTCTCAAGAAGTGCTCAAAAAAAAAAAAAAAGATACACAGGGGTTTGCCAAAAACACACAGGATGTTCCCAGAAAAGAAAAAGCTAAAGGAGTTCATCACTACCAAATCAGCATTACAACAAATGTTAAAGGGACTTCTTTAGAAGAAGAAAAGAAAAAGATCAAAAATATAAACAATAAAATGTAAATGGATTAAATGCTCCAATCAAAAGACAGGGTGGCTGGCTGAATGGATAAGAAAACAAGACCTATACATATATTGCCTATTAGAGACTCACTTCAGATTGAAAGACACAGACAGACTGAAAGTAAAGACATGAAAAAAGATATTTCATGCAAATGGAAATGAAAAAAAGCTGGGATAGCAATACTTAGACAAAACAGAGTTTAAAACAAAGGCTATATAACAAGAGACAAAAAAGGACCCAGCAATTCCCCTTGTGAAGAAACCCAAAACACTAATTCAAAAAGATATATGCACCCCTATGTTCACTGCAGCATTATTTACAATAGTCAAGATATGGAGACAGCCTAAGTGTCCACCAATAGATGAATGGATAAAGAGGATGTGGTACATTTGTACAACTGAATATTACTCAGCCATAAAAAAGAATGAAATCTTGCCATTTGCAACATGGATGGATTTACAGGATATTATGCTAAGTGAAATAAGTCAGACAGAGAAAGACAAATAACGTATGATTTCACTTATATGTGGAATCTAAATTAACAAAATTTTTTTAAAAATTAAAAAATATAGAACCAGGGCCGGCCGAGTGGCGCGTTGGTTAAGGGCTGGCTTGGGACGCCAGAGAGCCCCGCTTCAGATCCCACATGTGAGGGCCAGTGAAACTGCCCTCTACAGCTAAGATGCTGAACAACAGCTCGACCTGGAGCTGGGCTGCAGTGAGTTGCTGACGACAACGGCCGGCGTAAGCTGCAGCCCCTGCTGCAGTGGGTTGCCAAGGGCTACCGTGTGTAGCCAGCAGCCAGCGTGAGCAGCCGTCCAGAAGACGGCAACTGATCTGCCTCGCCCGGGAAGAGCGCAATGAGGTGCCAACTTGCGCCAGTGAAGCAACGTCCTCCACAACTAGACTGAAGAACAAAAGGACAGCAACTTGTCTATTCCCCTTCCCCCAATTCCCCAGCGCTGTTCCCATCCCCCAATTCCCCAATAAAAAAATAATTTAAAAAAAACAGAACCAAACTGATAGATACAGAGAACATTTTAATGGTTGCCAGATGGGAGGGTGTTGCATAGTCTCAAAGAATCTCCCCACAAGATACTTATTGTTTACAAAGGGAAAAATAGTAGCTTTATAGAGAAACCCGGCAAACACCACTTTAATCCAGTGATGAAGGTTAAGGTTACTAGTAAGAAAGCATATTAACATATACCTCCTGATATCATGCAACAGAATAGACACAACACATCACTTCTGTGGTTGTTGAAACTGCATAACCTGAGTTTAACTGAGGAAACATCAGACAAATCCAAACTGAAAAATTCTACATAATAACTGGCCAGTCCTCTTTAAAAGTGTCAAGGTCATGAAAGACAAAGAAAGACTATGTTCCAGAACAGAGGACACAAAGGAGACTTGACAATTAAACGCAACATAGGTGCCGGCCGAGTGGCTCAGTTGGTTAAGAGCTCACTCAAGAGTTTGAGCTCTGAGCAACAGGGTCCCCGGTTTGATTCACGGCCCTAGCTGAGCTGCCGCTGAGCTGCCAACCGGTGGCAGGATGGCTCAGCTAAAAAAACAAAAAATTTAAAAAAAATTAAACTCATAAATGCAACATAGTATCCTGAACTGGATCACAGACCAGAAATAAGACATCAGGAAGACAATAGATTACTTAAAAGTGTGATAGCAACATATGTTTCTGATTCTGATAATTATATTATGGTATATAAGATCTTAACACTAGAAGCTGGGTAAAGGATAAAAGAGAACCCTACACACTATTTGTGCAACATTTTTGTCTACATTAAGTATAAAATATTTCAAAATAAAAAGTTCATTAAAAAAAAAAAAAACTGGGGGCCGGCAGAGTGGCTCAGTTGGTTAAGAGCTTGCTCAAGAGTTTGAGCTCTGAGCAACAGCGGTTCAATGCCCGGCCCAAGCTGAGCTGCCACTGAGCTGCCAACAGGTGGCAGGATGGCTCAGCTAAAAAAAATAACTAAAATAAAATAAAATAAATAAAAATTTAAAAACCTTGCTTCTTCTGGATATTACTGCAGGATCTGGAGACTTCTCTGCAAAGCTCCCAAAAATAGCGGGAAATCCCTTACAAATTGCAAAATGTGCTATCTAGGGCAGCAAAGTCCTAAGCAGCAAATTCAACCATGTGGGCACATCCTCCAGCCCCTCGTCCTACCAGATACTCTCTCTGGATAACTTGTTCCATCAAGGCAGGATGCTGGGGGACTGTGGGGGGAGGCAAACAAGAAGCAATGCTCCCACAGGAGAAACTACAGCAGAGACGAGAACAAGAGTAAATTCAGCTCCTGGCCAATGGACTTCAGATCATCCATAACCAAGTTATAAAAAGACTACAACCTCCAGAGACAGGAGCCCTGTCTGCCCAGTCCCTTGTGGTCGCCCTGCACCCAGTACAGGGTCTGAACTGAGGAGATCCTCCCTCTAATAAACATCAGAAGGAAAAAACGGAAGGAGATGGACAGAGGAAAATAATATGGAATGGCTACATGCCCTTGATCCAGTCATCTGAGTCTCCAAGTTTAGGAGACTCACTGTGGTGAGCAGAAAGAAACATGAGTGTGTTCTAGAAAAGAACGATTCCTTCTAGCCACTTTGAAAAGCACCCAGGAGCTGAGGCCGACCAACACGCGCCATCTTGCCTCCTGATGTGTCTAGTAACCATCAAGCCTCATTTGGTTGTGGCTGGGGAGCCTGGTCAAAAAGCGCCGCCTCAGGAGCCACCGTGAAATCAGGGATGCTATCAGTGTCCCTAAGTAGGAAGCTGGGAAAAGACCCTGGCCCCAATGACCCGTTAGCCCCTACTTCCAGAAGTCACCTATTGCGCTACCGCCGTGGCCACTTCCATGGGGAGCAGCCTCGCTCACGTGAAATGGAGCATAACTGGACCAGAAATCCTGCAGCCTCCACAGCCAAGACAGGAGAACAATTAACAGTGCAAAATCTTACTATAAAATACTGCTAAATGTCCTTGCGGAGAGAACATGCAATTCTTACCCAGTGTTTGGGGAGAAGGATGAATCGAAGGTCAGCTTCAGTCCGCGTGCAAGCTGCACATAAAAGAAATTTGCCAGTAGGTTTAGTCACGAGGCAGGCCAGCAGATGTCAATTACCTAAACTCTGTCTTTTCGCAGGCAACCATTACCTGATCTTCCACAGTAATCTCCGTGCCTAGTGTGTTGTCAGTGTTCCACTTCTCTGTAAACGTCAGACCATATTCAGTCCATCTGTACTTGGTTTCCAGACTGCCGTTCACTTTAGTGGTCTCAGTGTTGGCTGAACCTGAGCTTGTAAATTCCTTGAAAGGAGAAAGAAAAGAGTCACAGCCTGCCCACCAGTGCTTCACTACATACCACCCCTAAACAGACTGTAATTTCCTTTATGCAAGAGGTGAGACCCTGAAAGTGTGGGGGCAAAGCGAATTCTATTAATTCAATTAGATACTTGAAGCACAGAGGGCACGCTAAAAGAATCTTATGGGGAACTCTTTATCAGGAACCAGCTTCCTTCTTCCCCTGGAATTCTTTAGTCTGGACAGGAAGGGACTGCCCCTTCCATCCTGCCTCCAGCCTAGTACAGAGAAAAGGCACCGAGCTAAAGCTGACATTGCAGTAATTCAACCCCAAAACTTCTTCCTTCCAACCATTACCACATGCAGAGTCTAAAAGGGGCTACCGAGATTTTTTTTTTTTTAATAATTATGCAGCACTGAACACAGGTCAGTTTTGAAATAAGATACACGAGGAAAACCAAAACTGATGCCTGCCTCATATACCTGTGAATACTAACAGCTACTGAACTGGGGACCCCTGAACCACCCATTCCACAGAGGAAGCCATGAATGAGAGAGCCACAAACTGCCACAATCAAAAAAGTCCCTTCATTTGATTCTGCCACCCAGGACATGGTCATTATTTACTGATCTACAATAAATAGCCACACTCTCTGTGGGTCAGGCAACTTACCAGTCCATTCTCAGATTTTGTTTTCAAATCGAGTTTTATTAAGCCAAATCCTAAAGAAAGAAGATGGTAACTGTTAAAAGGTTAAATAAGTAACCCGAGAGCAGCATCTCTGCCTTGCTGACGCTGTTTCAAAATGCCATGCATACAGAGGGCGCCTGTCTCTGCTGCTGCCCGCCTGTGTGCAGAATCGGTTGCCATGGCACAGTGGCAGCACAGGCACAGGCCCCACCTGGCCCCCACCTGTGCTGCCAGCAGAGTCTGAGAACAAGGTGCATGAAGGTGTGGGAATGTGCCCGAGAACAGGCTAAATTTAGAAATCGCACTCCCCTGCAGTGGCATCGACAGAGCTGCCCCACGCCTAGGAGAGGGCACAGAATGGCCACTTGTCTGCAGCACTCATGAGCCTGCCCTACTGGGTGCACAACCCACACTGCTTTCCTAGCTATAAAAAGCGCATCTTCTTCCCCTGATGTAGACGTTCTGAGAGTTGACTGATCCAGGTCTCTCAAACTGGGGTGAGCAAAAACCCAAACATGCCACTCTAGTCTGTGAGCTGGAAGGGCCACTCCATGCGACACTCACCATAGCCCTTGGTGAAGACGTCCCTGGCAGGTTTGCCAAGGTCAATGTACGTGGGAGGCACGGCCATCTTGTGCTACAATAAAAGAACCACAGGATAAATACATTGGTAATTACGAAATGAGTTTTCCATCAAAGGAAGTTATTAGGTATAATTAACAACCAATAGACATCATCAGCGCTGAGGTCTAGGTACCATGTTGCTCCCAGGTGTGGAAAGAGATGCCTGCGCTGTCTCGCGCTGCTTTTTGTGGCCAGAGCTTGAGACACCCAGTGAGTTTCTGTGGTCAGCAGATCAACCTGACTTTAGGCCTCTTCTGAGCATCCCCCGGACTGAGCGCAGGCCTAGCATATAGCAGGAGTCAGTAAATATTTGCTGAATGAATTAATTGTCAAAGACACACACAGTCCCATGAGCCAGCTACTGACTGAATTGCAGAACTCTTGCCAATACAACGTATCTTCTTACAAGAATGCCGACGCTAGGACATTAAATGCACTGAAGAGAAATCAGAGCTTTCCGTGGCAACCTATTTATTTTCCATACAGTTCTGATTTCATTCACTCAACAAATATTTACGGAGTACCTACTATGTGCCAGGATGCACCCAACTTTTCACAAAACTTTTGCATTTTAGGGGAGCTCGCTTTTAGAGGATCATATTCCTCACAGAGAATACAGTAAAATTTAACTAATTGGGCAACTCTTCACATGAGGGCAATGCAAGCACACCACAACCACCACCAAATTTAATTCAAACAAACACTTACTGAGCTCCAGTGTGGCTATTTTTCCAGTGTTACTATTTTTCCTTCTTCTTTTTTTTTTTTTTTTTTAAGGAGGGTGCAGCTCACAGTGTCCCATGCGGGGACTGAACCGGCAACCTTGTTGTTCAGAGCATGTGCTCTAACCAACTGAGCCACCCAGCCACGCCAGTGTGACTATTTTTAAAACCAACTATCAAAGTACTGCTTGGGATTGTTGACAGTCACTAAGTCAATCAGCAAGCACGTATATTAAGCACCTCGGTATTCAAAGAAGATGAATAATTCAAACAGTCCTTGCCTCAAAGAACAAAGCCTCAGCATCTCTGAGAGGCTTTGCTCAGGCACGTTGTGTGCACAGAATTAAAATCCCAATCCTGGACGGTACACGCTGCATGCTCCATCCAGCAGGAGAGGGGCCATGAGAAAGCACCACCATCTTCTCCATCTCCAAAGTCATTAGACTCCATTAGCCAGAAATCCAATTAACCCGAGGATGGTTCTGTTAATTTGTAAGATACAGTATACCTAAACCACCAATCTGAGCCTGCACACTCCCCAGCTGAAGTCACATATAGATGTACACACGCAAATAAACACCTACATGGCATGTTCCTGGTAAGAGGGGACCCACTGAATAGTGGTTCAAGGGGTCCCAGGGAAACAATGCCACAACTGGAAGTCCCATTCCTGACCGAAGCCTTAATTTCAAAGACACCGCAGGGATCTCACAGAACCAAGGAACATGTTGTAAAAGAAACAACTATAAACTTGTGAAATTTTACATTATAAAAACTGTGGTCCAGGTCCTAGTTTACTTTTTTCAGCAGTTTTGTTCATTCTGCCCCAACTCACGTTTGTGTCGGAGCAGAGGAGCAGCCCAGTGAGCTGTTTACGCTATTTTTTGTTGGTGTTATTTCTTACACATGATCAGCCTGGAACCGTGGGCAGCTCAGTCCACATCAGGGTCAGGGCACCAAGAACACAGGGGAAAGACCCATTTCAGGCTGCCCCCACGGGTTCTTTCAAGCCTGGACACTCCCCTTCCACCCCAAACAAACCCCACAGGCACACCCACCATAGGGACAGACCAGGAAACCACCCACCAGTCCTCCAGAAAGACCCCCTGCCTAAGGCATATGCCCCAGTCTGGACAAGCGATGAAAACCCTGGATGGAAGGCTGAGGTAAGGCAGCCTCAAGCAGACTCGCAGGACAGCTCAGCCAAGAGGCCAGGATATTCTCCACCCCCCACCAGTACTCATAGGTATCAGTGGACCAAGCACTCCTCTTCAAGGCTGCCCCCTCCCCAGCTGGGCCACAAACTCAGTCCTAGGGCAAGGGGGAAAGCAGTCCAGTGGCATTATCTCTGGGTCAGCTAAGCCCTCCCCGCACCTCGGGGGGCCAGGGCCTCCCCAAGTACCCTCTCCTGGCTGCAGGACCAGCCTCACCAGACACAAGCAGCTCTCATATCTGGACAGGCCCGTCCCTCAGGGAAAAGGCAGCACATTCATCATTTAATGTTCCCCAAAGGCCCTTTCTCATCACTAATCCCCAAAACCAAATGGGCAAATCCACCTGTCCAAAAACACTCCCCACACAGCAAACATCGCCTGACGTACATGGCCACTGAGGAGATTACCCTCCAAGGACAAGGGGGTTGGGACAGCAGAACGACTTCAGGTAAGGCCAGGCTCCCTGCAGCTCCTGCTCAGCACCAGGCTGAGAGGAGCCAAACCCTGGACCTGAGGAAACACCCACCAAGGAGGCAGGAGGATGGCTCCCCTTCACTAAGGTCCCCAGCTGCCACAGGTGGTAGCTGCCCCTTCTGCTTTTGTGCAGTCTTCCCCTTTCCCCACCCGTCTCCTGCTGTCTGGCTGCATGTATGAAAGGACGGAGGCAGGGTCTGAGGTCGCTCTGCCTCTCTGAGCTCAGCTTTCTTACAACTGCAAACCTCGCCCAGAAAATGCCCATTTACACAGTTCTCAGCACCCACTTCAAAAATATTTTTTTTTGTAGAAATAATGATTTCATTCATGTTTTTCAGGCCAGTACTAGAGGGAAGAGAAGTCAGCATTCTGCTTTCTCACTCAATCCCCTGCCTGCACTAACTTGGAGGCTGACACCTGGTCCCTCCCTCCACCCTGATCAGCTCACCATCCGTCTCTACAGCATCCACCTCGTGAGCCTTCGGAAGGGCCTCTGAAGGGCCTGCAGAGGCCGAGCATGCAGCAGGGCACTCGGACATGAGCAAAGCAGCCAGCCCCGGACACACGGAGGTCCGAAGTCCGCTGGGCAAGGCAGGAGCGCAGGTCTGCGCCTGGGTGATGGCTTCCAGGCAGAGCCTTGGGAGCATGGTTCCCAAGGCCGAGTGGGTAATGAGGGACAGGCAGGGCCAGCTGCAGTCACTGGTGACTTTGAGAAGGACCAATAAATCATGGCAGGAGCCCTGGTTCCCCTCCACTGCATGCCAGCCTACCTATCCAGCCATTCCCTGGCTGACCTTGAACAGATTACGCAAGCTCCACTCCAGCCCAGGAACAGGAATCCAGCCCATACTGGAAGCTAAGAGGGGAGGGACAGTATATCGCCCAGCATGGTCCGCATAACGCTTACATAACCTGTCTTGGGGGGAGGTATCCTCCTTGACTCATCAGCTGCATGGCAGTGACAGCTGCTCTGCTCCCAACACCCCCACTACCCCCACAAGTACACACCTACCCCCAAATCACACCCTTGAACTCAAAGCATCCCAGAGCCTGTCATGCATAAATTTATCCAAAACATGGAAAAAACTATGCTACAAAGATGGCAAGGACTGGCACATAGTAGGTATTCAATGTAAATGTCTTTTTAATGAGTACATGTGCAATGAGCATCAAAATGCTTTTATAATAGAAAAAAAATAGAAACTAAGTATCTGAAAATAGAGACTAAGTAGATGACAAGGTAGCCAGGAAGCAGGAGCTCCCTGCAGGGTAACTGCAAGACCACCAGGGAGGGGGAATGGGGAGACCCCCCCCCACTAGTACCCTCACCCCCACCTTGGCCTAAGGAGAGCTGAACTCAGGCTGAGGAGGCCATGGGCCTTCAAAGTGAGCACGCCACTTCTCAACTCAGAACCACGTGTGGGCTTTATTCTAAGGGCTGTGGAGAGCCACTGAAGGCTGAGTGACACGCCTGTGTTTGGGAAGCTGACTCAACTAAGAGCCTGGCAAAAATGTAAATGACAATATCTAAAGGTCACACCCATTCACACCAAGTGGGAGTGTTAGGTACAGTACAGCCCTTTTGGAGCCAACTGCTGGCAGTGGCTACGTGGGCACACACTAACCCTAGGGGCAATTCTACTGCAAGGGACCCACCCACCGTCGTCCCCAAGGCACCCAAAGATGGGTACTCACTGCAGTTATTTGTAACACAAAACCCAGAAGCAACCTAAAAATGAATAAAATTTAAGGTACTTGCAAACTAAGGGATACCATGTGGTAAGCAAAAAGAATGAGGTGGAAGAACTATGGTGTACACCTGAGATTGACATAATGTTGTATGTTAACTATATTTTTTAATAAAAAATCTCTAAAAAAAAGAATGAGGTGGATTTGCATGTGGTGGCACAGAAAGCTGCCTATGATATAGTTAAATGAAAAAAGCAAGTCACAGAATATCTGCAATTCCATGGACGTAGAGGAAACCCTTTTTGCATACACATCTTCATATGTTCACACGTGGCTGAAAGGAAAAGACTGTGGAAGGGTACGAGCCAATCTGTCAGTGTGGCTGCCTCGGCACTGCTTTAGGAAAGGAAAGGGGGAGTCTTAGGGAGTGGAGTTAAAATAGGATTTCATTTTTTATTCTACTTCATTATGTAAGTTGTTTGTATATATTGGTTTTTTTGTTGTTGTTAAGGACAGAAAATTTCAAAATCCAAACAATGTGTCTGAAACTGAGCCAGGTTGCCTTTCCCATGCCACAACAAGTCACATTCTAGAAGGCTGTTGCCACAGGGGTGCCAGGAGGAAAAGCTAAACTGGTTCCAAAACAGATTCAAACCACACCAAGATGTCAGGGTTAACAAGCAAGGCCTGGAGGGGGCACATCCTGCCCCAGATGACCACTTGTGGCTTTGGCCCCCCAGCCCGGAAGGCAGGAGAAGGGCAGAGCTCCCAGACTGCAGTGTGCATGCGAATCGCCTGAGGCACCTGTTCCAAAGCCTCCTTCCCAGCCTCTCAGCCTTTCCCTGCCTACCAAACCGGCAGGGCAGCCCTCATGTGCCAGTGAGAAGAGTGGGATCGCCCCCCACACCAAGGACAGCCCCAGAACCCCCACTTGGAAGTATGTTTTGTCTACAGAGGCTTCCTCAGAAGGATCCAGGCAGGGGAGCCTTGGTGCCCTCAGAGAGCCCACAGCCATTGCCATGGTTGACACAGGAAGCAGGGTAGCCCTGGGTCCCCAAAGCTCAGTCGGGAACAGCTGGGAGGAAAAGTCTTCTGCACACAGGTAACACCCAATGGGTTGCAAGACAACATCTCCAAGGGCAAGTGTATCACAGGGCTAGGACCGAAACACCAGGAAGTCACCCTGCCACAGCACTTCCCAGCCCATCCGGTGCCCAGACCGCAGGACACAGTGCCTGCTGGAAGGGGCTACAAGCCTGCAGAGGTTCTAGCTGGCACCTGCCTTTCCTAGCTGTCACTTTGGACCAGCCACGCATAACTTATACTCCCAGAGTCTTGTTTTGTTCATCTACAAAATGCGGCTAACAATTGTGCCGGAGTTGTTTCTGCTGGAGTTGCTGCAAGGATTAAATGAGTTAATAGGTGGAGAACAGAGGAATGTCTGGCACGGTGAACACTCCTTAAATGGGAGTGGTAACCACAGTCCACTGCTCGGGACAGTCTCTGCCCCTCCCCTTTCCTCCTCCATCCTGCTCTGGGCCCTAAGACCTGATTATATGGACTGTTATCAATGGGCTATGGCTGGGTTTGGCCAAGGGGAGGCATCAACAGAATATGGGGGTGAGGTTGGGGCACTCGTCCCCAACCCGAGTTCCCTTCCTGCTAGACCTTGGATGGGCAGTGACTGCTTCCCACTACCTGCAAAGGGCCTCTTCCCAGTTCCAAAGGACCGAGACATCCCTTGTCCGGAGCCCCACACCTTTGCAAACGATCCCTTCATTGTGCTTTCTTTGATTAGCCCATGTGAGTGTGTCTCTGATTCCTGCAAGGACCACAGCCAGCACGGCAATCATCACCATCATCATCCCCATCCTGCAGGAAAGCCTTTGGCTCTGTTTCTCTGACACCATTCTAGGCAGTGTGTCCAGGCAGAACAGGGCCAGCCCACAGGAAGAGCATCAGACAAACCAGGGATTAGAGCAAAAGCACCTTCCCCTGACTGCAAGGACCAGGGAAAGCAACTTCTCCCGCAGGAGGCCGGCCCAGCTCTGACAGCCAGTATGTGGGGCCACCACCATCAGGAACCACCCCATACATCCCCACCAGGAAGAGGCAGCCCAGGAAAACAGCCCCTGGTTGGGTCTCCAGGATGCTGGCAAAGCCAATGCTCAATGCTCTGGTAACAGGTCTGTGTTCCCAGTGCAGCTGTCCTCCCCTCCCCCTTCAACAACAGCCTCACACAGGGCAGCCCCGCTTTCCAGGCGTTGCTTCTATTTTAAAACAGCCTGGGAGCTGGGCCACCACCAGCACAGCCTTCCACAAGCCTCAAGAGAATGGAACTGACTTGGGGGCAGCCTACCCACCCACCCAGCAAGAGAAGGCCTGGGCTGGCAGGCACATCCAAGGTGTGGGTCCCAGGTGCACCCAAGGCTCCTGCCTGATCTCAGACACCTCTGGTTCCCTGGTACTTCACTGCCCAGCTTGACCTATTGGGGTTAACATAGACAGTGCTAGAAGTCAATCCCACTCTACCGCTCTCTAGACATGTGACCGTGGGCAAGTCCCAGCCTATCTGGCACCTCATTTTAATTCAGCTCTACTATGGGGAAAGAGTACATGACTCAGCATCCTTGTGAGGACCAAATTAGACTAATATAAAGCACTCAGTACAGTGGCTAGGACCTGGGAAGTATGCAACAACACAGATAGTATTTTGTTACAGGTTTTCACTGTATATATTTCTTATAATTATGGCTGCTGTGCAGGTAGCCGAAAGGTCACCTGAACCACAGGGTCCAGAGTCCTCCCCGACCATAATGAGGTATTGTTTAGTTGAATATTGCCCAGCCAGATTCTGGAAGAATGCCTTCCACCTTATCCCAGGAAACAGACCCTTCTGATAGACACCCAGTGCGTGCCACTGTCCTTGCAACAAACTGGGGTGACTCCACAGACAGCTAGCCTACACCCTGCCATGCACATGGCCAACTCTGATCAGTGTGAACAAATAGCGCTTCCCCTCTGAAGAGCAAATGCTACTTTTCAAAAAGCATTCACATCTATTAGCTCCTTGCCATGGCTGCAGTTCGAAAGCACCACCACTAGAACTAGCCAGACCAGACCCTGAATCCCAGCTCCACTGCTGCTGAGCTGTGTCACCTTGGATGCTCACCTCACCTCTCTGTGCTCAAGCCTTCTGACCTCTGAAATGGAAGCAACAGTAACTCTCTCCCAGGGCTTGTAAGATGATGGATTCAATGTCACAGAACATAGGTCAAGCCCCCAGCAGGGTGCTGAGTGTGCCTTGAATAAACAATGACTGTGATGATGATGTCACATTTTCATACTGGAGAAACTGAGCAACAGGAAAGTGACTTGATCTGTACTAGACCCTATGGCTGTTTTGCAAGCTCAAAGCTCAGTCTGCTCTCCAGGACCTTTCCAGCACAGTTCTGGGTAAAGGGTTTAGATCCCCACTCACCCTCACCCTCCTGAAAGCAAGCAGGAAAATGGAGCACTGTGCCCAGGCCCAGCTTAGGACCCCACTGCTCACCTTTCCTAAGCAGCTACCAGGGCCTGTGGGGAGCCCAAAGCCACAGGCCCTGAGCACTGAGAGGCCGCCTGCAGGCTTGGCTGGCTCTCAGCCACACACATACCGCTCTCAAAGTTGTCACACTGTGAGAAATGCCATCAAGGGCAAAGTGGACTTCAGCACCCAGGGAGCATTTTACCAGTAAATGTGGGAGTGAATGTGCCTTGGTACCACCAACTCAGAGGTCATTGTCCACATCTGCCTAATGTCCAGTAGGACCAGAAACGCACAGGCAATTCCTCATTATAGGGGTCCCTGAGCCTGTGTTTGTGTCTATAAATAGCCCCTGCCTATAGCTTTAGAATAGCAGAAATAAA